CGACACCCAATCTTGAGAGCTCTGTCGCCTGCGTTCAATTCCTGAAACTTACCAAGGGGAGCGATTTGAGAAGCTTCAAGGCTGGCTGAACCTTGGAATCAGACAACTCCAAATAATCCAAACATGCTAGAACAACCTTCCGGAGACGAAACTGAAGATCTCGTTTAGACCCCTTTAGCTGCAAAGACTCGGGCGCTATCTGTGCAGCACCTTCGGACATACACTGAGGTGGAGACAATGCAGCCACTGCACGGCGGAAAATGGAGCGAATCTGGCACAGGTCATCAGCTTCCACTTTTTGAAGTGACTCTTCCAATGAAGACACATACTCCTCTTGCTTTGTCTCACAAGTAGTGTTTCTCCAAACATATACTGTACTGCCTTATTCATCAGCCTGGCTCCTTTTGTAGCCTTGGCTTCTGGAACGAAATGTTTGAGATCCTGCAAAAGGCCCGGCCATTGCATCTCAAGCTCTGAATCTGTGTTGATTCGCTCAGAAATCCTCGTCAGCACTTGTGATAGATGTTCACACAAAGGTTGTGCATGCTTGACAGACTGCAAGTACCGCTGCAAAAGTGACACGGCAGACAGGCTATCATACTGCAAAGACATCTGCTGAGCTGGAAGCTCTGCAACCCACGCGGCTACATGAAACGCACGTTTCTGCAGCTCATCAGTATGCAGCAGAGTCAATTGAGCCCAAAAGACCGTGACCCTCGAGACAGCGGGGCCTCGAAACTGGCATGGCCCTGTTGACGGCGTTCAGCGGTCGATACGCTCGGATCCAGCCATTAGAGCATCGCGAGCATTCAAATTCCAGAATTGTAGATTTCTGAACTTCCATGTGCTTGGCACTCAGGTACTTGCGTAGGGTAGGACTTTATTTAGTCCATATCGGACTGAGCTGCACTGTTTCACGATCAAACTATTCAATTCATGATGGATTTGTTTAGGAAGCATCTATATTGCAAACTGCAGCGGATGAACACAGCGGACGCAAGCAAGGTCAAAATGCCGCAAGTCAGCTGCTGAGCCCTGGAAATTTGGTAATCATAATCAATCCAAGCAAGCGGCTGGACAGGTCAGAGCAATGAGCAAAGAATGCCCATCCTGGCAAACATCACTACAGATTCCCTGCACAGTGTGGGAAATCTGACTTCATTTGTGTTGGTCGGCAATACATGAATCAACTAGAGAACTATGCAATTGACATGCATAGATGGCCTGATGCTGTAACCCTTCTCCATTCAGTGTGGTGCGGCCATAGGTAGCGCCGATGAGAAAGCCGCGCGCTCTCGCATCAGCAACTTGCCAAATGCTATCGCCTACCTCGGCGGCTTACCTCGAAAGCGACGAGCATGGTACGCTCTCGTCAAAGCTTCTCGAAGACATGGCAAACTTAAGCAAGATTTCGTGTTGTGGTGTCCAAACCCATGCACAAGATTCTAGACTGTGAACAAAGCAAACATGTCGGTGTCATCTTGGGACAGGAGCGGCCAGAAGTAAAGCACTTTGATCAGTGACGTGATCTACTTCTGTTCAGTAGGGATAGCGATGCACTTGGTGTGTTTCTTTTTGAATCTGTGATGACTGGATCGCAGCGTTTGGATAAACACCTCCGGATCGCAGCGTTGATGAACATCGCGATCCATGGCGGTAGGTCTGATGCGGCCGATCGGATGGACGGAGAAAAGGGCCATGCTTTTAGGTCATCCATTTGCCATACATATACCCAGACACTCCATGTATGCTTACATTGGGGTGGTTTGGGGGTCAATGTAGGCATATGTGATATATGGCATACATGGAGTGTCTGGGATATGCTGATGTTTCTTGCTATGCTCTGCATACATACGTATGTGGGTGGAAAAGTACATCTTCCCAAAGTGCTCAAAACTCTGCATCACTGCACCACCTTGCCGCGCCAGTTCGTCGAAGTTCACCGGTCCTCGTGATGGCATGTCGCCGAACGCTTCACTGACCAGCCCCACCTCGGACATGATCTCCCTTCAGAGTGCCTCTTTTGGTCTCACAAACCCTCCCAAACGATACTTTGGTCGCTTTAGTGCTACCATATCACCCCCCATGTTTCTCCAAACCTCCACGCGCCTCACGCCCCGACGTCCGCGCCCAGGTCCCCAGGTCCCAGTTCGGGCCCAGTTCGGACCGCCCAACGGACCGCACCACGACCGGACACAGCGGAGAACGTGGTGAAAAGAGTGTGAAAACCACCCCACACGTTTTCAGGAAGGAGTCATGTGGACCAGACGTCCATGTTCATCCAAGTATGTTCATCCCATTTTCCGATGTCCATGTTCATACCATTCGTCTTGCTCACGTTCTCCACTCGTCTCTGGGCTGCCGGCTGGTGGAAGATCCTGGTGCCGGTGGCTGCGAAAGGACTCAACGGTACAGCAAAGCACAGGCCAGAAACAACTGCCATTCCCAGCTTCCAAACATAAGATTCAAACAGTTCCAAAAAAAAAGGACATGAAAATAGAGTTCTTGTTTCTATTCTTGTCAGAAAGGTTGGATTCAACAATAAAACCTTCCAAACGGACATCGAATTGAATCGATTGGGGATGAATGGATGGCTTGCAGCCCACATGGAGAAAGAAAATGGTGTGGAGTCCGATCCTTCTCTGAGCCACAATGGGAGAAAGAAAATGGCCTAAAACAAGTGGAGCCATCCTGATACAGTTGTGCTAAAACAACATGGAGAAAGAATGGCCTAGTAGCATCTAGTAACCCACTGGCCAATTTTCTATTCTACATGGTCAAACAGGTTTGTGGATGTCCACATTTTTCCTCGCGAAAGACGTCATTGGCAGGCTCTTGTGGACACTGACATGCCCCTCATGGCTGCCAGTGGTGCAAACTCTGGAGCTTCTCTTGAGATCGTGCGCTTGCTTAAGGAAAAGGGAACCAAACACTCTGGGAGACCGTGGGTTCACCCACGTGGGTTTTGATAAAACGCCCGAGGCCCAGATGCGGGACCAAAAGAACTCATGGATTCTGATTTCGGAACATATATTAATGTGCTGTCAAGTAAGCTAGGGAAAAAATCAAACCATGATCCCCAAATTCAGGGACTCACCCAGAAACACATCGCCTGATCAGACCCATGCACCCATGGTGTTTAGTTTAGTGCCTCAGCAAGTCATTCTAGGCAAGCTTTGGGAAGCTGAAAACAACATATGAGTGATTGCCAAAAGATCTTCATCACTAACTGTTTCATCTTGTTTCACCAAACGACATGAGATTGAATGACTGGATATCATGTTTGGGGCTCATGTTCCTATGCCCATCCGCAACAAACCCTGTGAGATAATTCGGTCATCTACAGTGCCTCCAGGTACTAGGCGGCTTGGGCAGGTCAAAGTGGGGTTCCAAAAGCTTACAGGGAGCTACAAGGGCAAGTGATTCTACAAATCCCATCAACTCAACGGCCCGAGTGTGTAGGAGACATGAAGTTTGACTCGCTTGCATGTGTTCTCCATTGTTTCACGTCGCCTGGCAAACCTTTGAAGGCATCTTCCAGTTGACCCTTCGCGCAAAGAGTTTGGGAACTTTTCTTCATTACCGGTGTGGTCCTCACTGGTGTAAAATAGAGTCAACTCAAAGCCATTGTTTTGGAAGCATGTTTTAGGTCATAAACACCCCAAATTCAATGAACCAAACAGGGGCCTCAAGACCCCCAACAGCAGGTTCTTTTTTGTGTTTTTTTTGGGGACACTGACTCAAGGAGCCTTTCTCCACCGCTGGATTTGTGTTGTGGAAGACCAAGGATCAAAGAAAAAAGGGATCCCAGTAGTCAATAAGGGGGCCCCTTGGGAGGTTGCTGCCTGGGAGGTATCCCTAGGCTCAATACACACCGAAGAGAGACTAAGCGTAACGGCAACGGGCGGCAACGGGTCTTTCCTCAAATAAAAGCCATGTTGATCCATGTTGCCCTTGTGGCTTCCCTAGATCTTCGCCCACTGAAAGCCTGTACTGTATCCGTGCCGAAGCAAGGGGAAAAAGCCTATGATGGTCAAGAAAACAACCAACGGTAACAACCAAACAAACATGACTTTGTTAACTTCATCGTTCCTTCTTTGCGCTTGATCTTCAAACCGAGGAAGGTGCCGCGGCCCACAGGTCATTTATGGCATTGGCGTGCGTGGACGAGCTGCGCGGCCGAAACATCAAGCTTAGCTGGGCCAACAAGGTTCCCGGACCCCCTCAGTTTTCCTGAAACATGAAGGACCACCTGCTGGATACTAGAGGGGAAACCATTCCCCCGAGAGGTTAAAGGCTATCCACTGACTGGGTAGGTTCCTGGATTGGAACAAGAACCTCGTGTTTTGAGGTATATAATTAATTACAATTGTTCAATCAAAGTTGATCCGTTGGGTTCTAACTGGATCTTTGGGTTGAAGGGAGTTTCTAAGGTTGAAGGGACATCCATGGGTTGAAGGGATCTATAGCGGCACGATGGCCCAAGGGACATATGCAACATATGCATACACACCACCCTCCCATCTCAGCTCTGAGGCTGGATGGAAGAAGAACTCGAACGGTCAATTGAACACATGGATAGGGGTAAACGTGATTGACTCAGGCACCTCATGTGCAAATGGAAAAATAGTTTGAACACCCAAAGCTTGAACCTGTGGGGATTTGTTTAAGCATGTTTAAGCTTTTGAGCCGATGTCTATTCTATTCTAATTTGGTTTTCCCTCCACAACAGGAAGCTTGGGGCTCTATCACTTCCACAACTACCTAGCCATGCCCCAGTCATGCAAGAACTTCCCAATCGGACTTCGCATTGGACCCGTTACATGTGTTCTTGAACTAATGCGAAGTGGGATTTCAGATATTCCCAATCTGTTCCATGTGTTCTTTGGTTCCTTCAAACCAAGATCCTCCGTGCAAACCGGTCGTTGGATTGGCCATGCAACGTCCACAGTGATCTCGACGCGCCAAGTGGCGCTGGCGCCCTAGCGGTTCATGTAGCGCTGAGGCATTCGATAGGTTCCTGTCTGTGTCCCACGTGTCGCGACGGTGTCCACCGAGCGATGGCCATGGGTCCAAACCGGGCGACCTTGGTTGACCGAACTGAAGTGAATTCACTGGGGAGGTCAACCTAGCAGTGTGAGTTCGAAGCGAATAAGTGTGCCGTTCGACTGCCAAGTGAGTCGAACGGAGATACATCAATTCAGTGAACTTGTACGAAAAGAAGTGTCAAAGATTGCCAAACTGCAGTATGCAAAATTGCCTTGATCAGTCCATGTATCTTGTAGTATCTTGTGAAAGGAACATGGTACCCAAAGCATGCAGTATCTCATAACGGCAAACTTACAATTACATAATCAATTTGTACAATTATGTACACATTAATATCTGGATAACAGTAGGTGCATGCAACCCCTTTCTGGTCATGAGAAAGGAAGGTGAAGAAAATTGCTGTTGTTTGATCCCAAGGCTCACATGAGATGTCTAAAATCAACACCGGCGCGGGCACCGAACAAAATGAGGCATGCTCCTGCCTACACCCAACTATAGTGGATTTGAGGTACATCTTTGACTGGAGGTCTTCTAAGACAACACTGACTTCAAAACATCAAACAACAATTCAAGTCGACTGAATCGTAAATGTGAGTCTTGGAACATGAAGGGCATATCACCAACTCCAAGCCAAACATTGTTGATGCATCCACCGTGGAAGACTGAAAGAGCATGAAAGAAAGCTCTCTGACGACATCAGACGCTTCTGCATGGCTTCTGTCTGTGTTTTCCGAGACCATCTGGCGAAAGCGAAGACCTCTTCTCGTACACTCCGTCGTGACGTCGTGTGCCGTGACGTGACGTCAGATGCTTGGCCCAAGCATTGCTGGCCTCCACAATGCTCTGAGGTTCCACGTTGCCGCTGACAGTTCTTCTTTGGTCCCACCGGTCACAAGCGGCGAAGAAACGCGCCGACGGCGGTCGCTCATCGTTCGTGGTAACATTAGAAGGCGGGCGAGCAAAGGCAGGCGAGCGAGCCAGGAGGAAACCCGATCCATGTACACAAAGAGTTTGGGCTATCTGCCAGCTTCATCAAAGAGGTCACCAACGACTGCGATGGTTTCGAGAGCACCGTTCCTATAAACTGATGAGGCATGCCTGGAGCTTACTAGGCAGGATGTCCCCTGTCTGACCCTCAATCTCAATGATTCCCGGTGCACTGAGGGGCAGGGAATTTCGATGGAGCATCATCTCCATGGAGAATAACAGAACACAATCGAACTGCTTCAGCAAACGTTAAAGACACCATGCGGCGAGTGGACGCCCCGAGGCCTCCAAAGACCCTCCTATATGTCACCCGAATTCGGCTTGGAGCGTCTGGATCCATTGGTCAGATGCACTTTGGAGTCCATGCGCCAAAGAGCCCGAGACGCACGGCATGGTCAAGGCCGTTCGGATTCCCCTTGATTGAGTTCTGCATAGCTGATTTCTGGGAAACGCGTACTCCTTGAATGGAGCAGCTGGGCAGCATAGGCTGTTGAAAGGACCGCAGCACTCCATTCCTTCCAACAGGCGGTAGCCACAATATGCCACAATCGCGTCTGCAAACAAACGCGGCTGCTCTGCAAAGCTCCTGTTCTGCAATTTGTTGACCTCATTATTGTGTATAATAAACTTGAAGACCTTCACACGTGGAGGG